CGCCACCTCTTCTGGGAGGCTGAAGTGGCGTTACCCCCCGTTTATCTGGTGCTTCCAGGTTTTCACCAGTGCATGCCGATTCAGACGTGCTTGCACGCGCCCCGTGTTTCGTAACTCGAGGCGAGAAGCCTCAACTCGCCCTGCTGGGTTGGAACTCCCAAGAGGCGTGACGGAGAAGGCGGCATTTTCACGGTCCAACTTACAAAAAAACTTTGAAAGACGAGGGCTTTCTTTCTTTATTAAATTTATTTCTGCCCATCCGTTGGGAAGCGGCTCTAAAAATAAGTTCCAAATCAGTTTTTTAATAAAGGTTGTTGTGCGGAGGGGGAATTGTCTACGAAAGGAAAAACCGAGAGCTGGCAGATAATTTTCCTCCGTGCATCTTCTCGCCCCATACATTTGCTAAGTGAATTTGCCCCGTTTTGTGACGTGTTTTTGCCACAGTTCTTAAGTGAATCGTCGCATTTGATAAGTCAGTAACCCGGTTGTTAAGTGAAGCTGGCTTCCCCGTTGACTTTGCTTGTCAGAAGGTCGCCAAAGGGGACCACATGACACCCCACACTGCGACCGCCATAAATATGAACCCTAACCCTAAGTGGAATTTTCCTCCTATGGGATTTTCCCATGTATTTTACCAGGAAAGATAGATAGGGCAGGCTAGAAAAGCCAATGACTTTCTGACCACACCCAAGCACTCTGAATTTGTTGGCAATGTCCATTTTGCTCTCCGAGTTCATGGTGACGTAACCCTAACCTATACCATTTCAGACAAATAGTTGCCCAATCTCTTCTTAAAAACTTCCAGTGTTGGAGCCTCCACAACTTCTGAAGGCAAGTCGTCCCACTGATTGTCCTCACTGTTAGGAAGTTTCTTCTTAATTCCAGGTTGCTTCTCTCCTTGATTAGTTTCCATCCATTTCTTGTCCTGCCTTCAGGTGTTTTGGAGAATAGGATGACCCCTCTATTTGGTCTTTTGATCTCAAGGTAATTTTTCAACCCACAAGAGTTTTACTATTTAACGTCTCCTTTACCTATATACTACTAAAACTCTCTTTGTTGGTAACCTTCAATTAGCCCAAATGGTACATTGTAATGTAAAAAAAAATAAGTTGAATTAAGGAACCTCAAATCCCCTAACTTCAAGAACGTGTGCAAAATATGGGATCTATTACTTTTATGTCATTATGCACACCAGTTGCGTTTGCAAAGTTGTGGCTGCTGCAGTGTCATGTGACTGTGATTTCCCATGCTCCCCGCCAACTTCCCACAAGCAAAGTCAGTGGGGAAGACACAGGAAGTCGCCATTTCCACTGCTTTTTTGACCACCTGTGGTGAAAAAGGCTTGTGTGTTTAGGTAAGGAAATATCTCTGAAGTTGAGTCATGTGTTGTCTAGTTTGTACCAAAGAAAGTCTAAAACTTTTACAGCTTTACTTACAAACGTACTAGATGTGTACATCTAAATGTTTATCCCAAATGTTTTGTGTCATCGGCTGTGATAGCTTACAAGAGAGGACAGAAGTTGCAAATAACCAGCAACATCCAAAGGTTCAATCCTTTCCACAGGTTTCAAGCTGCCATTGGATCTCCATGTTTGAAGCTTGTGTTTTTCTCTAACTGAGGCTCAGGAAACAAGGAAATGACAGGCACTTTGAACCGAAAAAAATACACATTTTCCAAAAATGCTAAATGCTAAAGGCATGCCATCTTCACCCAGTGACAATGCTCTTGGCTCAAGATGGCAGCAGTCATCCATCTGTGTCTTAGAAAGGTGCATTTTAAGCTTGAGCAGATTTCAAACTAAAGTCAGGTTACTTTCCTGCAGATTGGGGAATCTAAGACCAGGAGGACAAAAGGGAGGGACCAGAGAAATCGAGATTAATTTTTCCTGGTGAACAAATGGCAAACCTTAATAGAAAAACAAGAGACCTATTTTATGTGTGTAAGAGGCAACTCTGGAGCCCTTATCAGATTCGACGTACCGAAGGAAGAAAGATTCCACGTGCAAAACCAGACCTCCAAAATGGCTCAACATAATTTATTTTTTTTTATGTTAAAATGTACAGAGTTCTTTTGAAAGTACTTGCTAGAAAGAGGGGAGGGAAAAAGTGATATTACATAGAAGGAGAGGAAGAGAGGCCGGCCGGCCCAGGAGCTCATGACATGGAGAATTACAAAGGGTTATCATCCAGGCACCCCTTCCCCTTTTGAAGCTTACAAGTCACCAAGAACGAAGTACAAAGAAGTTACAAAACAGGAAAAGCAAATATAAACAGACAGGAATAGACGCGGCTTCATTTTGTACATGCGGCTTTAGAGGCATCTGGAACTCTAGTCACACATTCTAGAGATCTCTTTAAAGAGAATTTTCATCTTTCTTAAAATAGTCTTTAATATTCTACAACAAAGATAAAAAATTTTAAAGATGGAATGAAATGAAAAAAGCTCTTTTTTTTTTTAAAAGGCATCAAAGTCACTAACAGTGAGTTTTTCTTTTTTTTAAAATTTCTTTTAGAAGATTACCCAAGTTTATTTTGCTAAAAATACATTATTATTTTCTTTCTTTTTTTTTTTTCTTAAACAGAAGTGGAAAAAAAAAATGACAGGTACCAATATTACTGTGTTGGATACTTTTTCTTTTTCTTAATAATAATATAGAAAAGAACACCGGTTCATCTACAATAGCTCTACAGTCACAAAGGTTTGTGGAAAAAAGGGAGCTGCCCAATTGATTTTAAAAAATAAAATAAAATAGAAAAATCCAAAACTGGGGGGGGGGGAAGGTAACAGCAGACGGAAAATATATATATATATATATATTTTACGGCCCTCGTGCCAACAGCTTTGCTTTCGACACCCCAACCAACCGGCCCCTACGGCCATCTGCAGCCGGGAAGCGAGGCCAGCCGGCCGGCGCAGACGACCTGGGCAGAAGGGGACAGGCTGGGTCACCTTTCAACACAGATGAAGTGAGCCTGGATCGGTGGATATTTACAGGGTCCTGGGTCCTACACAGCCTTGGACACATGCTCAAGAACTCAAGAGAAAACGAGGGCTGGAAGCCCAAGGGATTCTGCCTTTTCTACCCTCACGCGGAGAGAGGGAACTCCACTGAGTGCAGCTGAAGCGCTGGCCCCCTCCAAACTGCCCTTCAGGTTGCTTTGAGAAACGAAACCAAACAAAAAAAATCTTTACACATCTAAGTCAATCTAAGTGCGTCTGTAGCTCTACAGGAATATACAGAGAAAACTTTACATCAGAAGGATAAGCTACATTTTCTCCTCCTCGTAATCGGCGGATGGCGTGTCCTTCGCAGTTCGGTAGGGTGGACTGCAGTGCGGGGATCCTCCTGTCCCCCCCCAAAGGCTCTCACACAAAAGGCAGTGTGGAAAAACTCCGCCTAGTGAACCTCCAAAGATGAAGGGAGGCAAAGGGGATAAAAGAGGGGGGGGGGTTACCAGGAGGAGGAACTCCTATGTGAATACTCGCTCCCCACACGCTAGCGCCAGGCCAGCAAAAAATTTAAAAAAAAAAATACATATGTGAAAGCGACTGCGACAGCCGTTTAAATGTACATCCCAACTTCCGGGGGCGGGGACAGCCTTGCACAAGTGCCTCTAGGAACTGGATCCTCCAGCAGATTCACAACGCAAAGTCCAGCCATTGGGTTTGGGGGGTTCACCTCCAGAACTCGTTTCTCCCACCCACCCCTATTTTTGGCTGGACTCGGCTGGACTAGACTACGTAGTTCCTACTTGGATATATGCAATGGGTGCACTTTAGTTACATTTAAACCGTATTTCAGTTCACCCAAGGAGGGAGAGGGAGGGAGAGGAGAGGGGAGAGGAGAAGATAGGAGTTGGAGAGGAGAGGAGAGGAGAGGAGAGAAGAGGAGAGGAAAGGAGATGGAGAGGAGAGGAAAGAAGAGGAAGAGGAGAGAAGATAGGAGAAGAGGAGAGAAGATAGGAGGAGAAGAGGAGAGGAGAGGAGAGAAGATAGGAGAAGAAGAGAGGGAGAGGAGAGGAGAGAAGGGGAGAGGAGAGGAGATAGGAGGAGGAGAGAAGAGGAGAGAAGATAGGAGGAGAAGAGAGGAGGGGAGAGGAGAGGAGAGAGGAGGAGAAGAGGAGAGGAGAGGAGAGGAGAGAAGATAGGAGAAGAAGAGGAGAGGGAGAGGAGAGGAGAGAAGGGGAGAGGAGAGGAGATAGGAGGAGAGAAGAGGAGAGAAGAGAGGAGGAGAAGAGAGGAGGGGAGAGGAGATAGGAGAAGAGAGGAGAGGAGAGAAGAGAAGATAGGAGGAGAAGAGGACAGGAGAGGAGATAGGAGGAGAAGGGGAGAGAAAACAAAATATCAACTATTCAGAGTTCCTATATTTGGGGGGAAATGGCAAAGAAGGCTCCGAACGTTTGCTCTGGGCTCCGTGCACCACGCCCAGGGCCTGCCACGGAGCCAGAGGGCACAGAAGACGGGAAGGATCTGACCTTTCAGGATTGGGCCATTTGAAGAGCTGTGCACAAGGGTCCAGGGGAGAAAAACACTCCGGCGCCTCAAAGCAAGAGACCACGGACTCTGCCCAAGTGGTTCTGGCAAAGTAAGGCTCTTGGTTCAACGATGGGAATATCGTGTGCACGTTTTCGATCCCCTTTCTCCCCAAATGACAAAAAAAAAAGAGGAAAAAAAGAATCCCAAAGCCCAGTTCCCAAAATGGATTTGAACGGGTGAAGTGTTTCCAGACTGTGGAAGGGGAAAGAAAAACAAAAAACAAAAAACCAAGATTCCCCAAACCAGAGAACCAACCCCTCCCTCCCAGCGAAGAAAAGAAGAAAAAAAAAAAGACCAGGCCCCCTAAAAAAATAAAATTAAAATAAACCAAAAGGGAACAAAACCCTATCTAAGATCTACAGCAATATTTAACTGGAAAAAAGGTCCATTGTCTCTGCTTTGTCAGTATAAAAGTTTCCTTGATTGAGCGAGAGACGTGTTTTTTTTGGGGGGGGGGCAGGGGGGACACACCGTCTTGCTCATCTCCTCATGTAGGGCCCGTTGAGCGATTGCTTGGGGACCCCAGCAGCGTTCATGTAGCTGTGATGCGAAGGGCCCGTGTACATCATGTTCCCGTGGGGGTTGGGCTGCATAGGCTGCTGGGGGTAGGCCTGGCTCCCCATCATGCCCATCTGCATCTGCATAGGATACTGGGCCGTCTGGTTCATGTAGGCGGGGTTGCTATGGTAACTGCTGTTCATCATGGGCTGGGGCATCCGGTAGCTGTTCATGGCGTTCAGCGTGTTCATATTCATGGAGTTGACGTTGTAAGGGGCCGTGGGCATCAGATTCACCCCCATATTCATGCCACGCTGAACGGCCAACGCCCGGGGGCTGGCCTGCATGGCCACGGCGGGAGGGCTGCGGCCGTAGAGCTGCTGCTGGTGAGCAGCCGCCGAGGGCAAGGGGGCCGATTTCGACCGGATGGAAATGTGCCCCTTGACCGGCATCTGGCCTTGGAGCCGCTGGGTGTGGGGGATGCCGATGTTGGTGGTGGACATGTTACACTGGAGCAGGGGAGAAGTAAGGTTCATGGTGGTGGGGGCCAAATTGGGCGGGGGAGTCATGGTGGCTTGTGCTTGGGCCGCCCCGGCCAGAGGGTGTGACGGGGCCAGCTGCGCGAGGCCCGTGTTCGACAAAGACACACTGGTTGCATAGGAAGTCACAGCAGAAGAATGGCTGTAAGGCATGGCGTGGGGGTCCATAATCGTGTTGGTCAACTGCTGCAACTTGGCTAAGCTGAAGGTGGCCGAGGGCTGGGAGTAACCGCCGGCCCCGAAATCGCCAGGGAGCCTCTCGTAGATGCTGATGTTGCCGGTGCTGCCCGATTCTGGGATTTCCATGATCATCGGCGCCGGAGTGAAACTGTTGTTCATGCTACACTGCGACAACGATGGCTGCTGCTGGGGCGGTGGAGGCTGCTGCTGCTGTTGCTGCTGCTGCTGCTGGGCCGGAGGCGGTGGCTGGGGCTGCTGGGCCTGGGGCTGCGGAGGCTGCGCCGTGGGTTGCTGGTTACTCGGGGGTCTCTCAACCACGCAACTCTGGGGGGACTTGATATTGCAGTTGGCGGTTGGCTGGACGCTGCCTTGCGGCATGAGGCTGCAACTGCTGCCCATGCTGGCCATTTGCTGGGTGACGACGCAGCTGTTCTGGGTGAGGCTGCTGGAGGAGGAGAGGCCTCCGTAGGAGCAGCTGCTCTGCGCGGAGTTGTTGCCGCAGATGCTGCCCCCCATGGTGGAGTCGTAGCTGCTGGGATTCTCGTAGTTCTCGGTGGTGCTCTCGATGCTGCCGAGATCGCTGAAGCCGCTGTCCACCACCTGCTGGGAGTGGTCCGACACCGAAGGCACATCCATCATGGGGCTGGTCTCCATGTTCTGCATAGAAGGTGCGGAAAGAGAGCCTTGCTCGGGGCTGATCTGGGTGTAGCTGCTCTCCAGCGTGCCGGGCACGCTGGGGCTGCTGACGGAGCGCACGGACTGACTGGGGTGGGACTGGACAGAGGAGATGGGGCTGTTGTGTTCCGAGGCCTGGCAGTCTTCCACCATCGGCATCTGCGGGTCCTCTTCGGCCTGGGTGTAGCTCTGCAGGTTCTGGCAAGCCGCCAGGGTCTCCTCGCAGTCCTGGTAAGCCACATCGTGCTCGTGGTTTTCTTCCTCTTGGGTCAAGGACTGCACGGCTTGGACAGTTTCGAGATCGAGTTCGCTGTGAGGGACCGGCTCCTCTTCCTTCAGCTCAATCAGCCCTTCCTTAGGATGCTGCTGCTGCTCCTCCTCTTGGTCGTCTTCGGATCCAGGAACCAGCTCTGACCCAACTGATGTCTCGTGGGACCCTTGATCCTCCTCAGAATCTGCCTCTCCTTCACTCTTGTTCTTGGCGTCATCGTCTCTACCGTCCTGTGTGCTTGTTTCTAAAAAAGGCTCCTGGACTTCTTCGGGCTCTTCCTTCAGGGCCTCCTTCTCGGCCTGCTCTTCCAGCTCATTCTTTTGGATGGACTCCATGTGGCCATCGTCTTCCTCGTCATCTGCATCGTGATCTTCGTTCTGGTTAGCTACCGCTGCAACTTCCTCTTCTTCCTCTTCCTGGTCATGCTCGGCTTCTTCAACTTCCTGCTGCTCTTCTTCAGACGGCGGCCTCTGGTCTTCTAGGACTTGAGGCTTCTCCGCTTCTTCCTCCAGTTCAGGTTCTTTAGATTCCATCTCTGGACTGTTACTGCTGTCTACGGGAGAGGTCGCCCTCCCTTCTCTAGCAGGCATGTCTTCCTCGTCTCCTAGATCACTTGCTTCCGGAGGCCCATCTTCATCTTTCCTTTCTTCAGCACTAGGCAGAAGTTCTTCCTTCTCCTCAACCAGCTCTTCCTCGTCCTGCATTTTCGTTTTACGCCCTGATTTGCAACTGGCTTCCATGAGATCCGTGGTCTCCTCTGAAGGAGGGGCTCGAACTTTTCCCCTCCTCAGTTGAAAGGCTGGCTTGCGCCCGGGCCTTTTCTTCCAGTGGATGGGCTTGCGGCTCTTGCCCTTGGGCCAGCCTTTCTTCTTTTTCATGGGGGTAGAAGTGCCAGGCTGGAGCGGAGAATCGAGCGACTCACATTTTCTCAGCAAAGAAACGGGTTTCAAAGTAGGAGAATCTGAAGAGAATGCAAAAACAGAAGGGGTCAACTTTGGAACAGCAGTCCACAATTATTTATCGTTAGCACTGCCAAAATCTAGAGTCGATCAATAATGTTTGTTTGCATTGGGGATTTGTAATTATTCGATAAAGTAACTTTCTCAAACTCTTGAAATCTGTGAAATGTTATCATTCACTGCTAACAAGAACAATAATATTCATTATTGTCTTTTTCATTTTCTCAAAAGACATATTTGAAGTAGTTGAAATTTGGGGAGAGCTATACCCCTTCCTCTCACTGTTGCAGAAGATTGCCCCAGACTATTGGCTGAGTAAAATGCACCATCTTAAACAAACTTTTCAACCCTATATACTCTCACAGAATCGCACAAAATTTTAGCCTACTACATTCTGAGCCAGTGTGATTGGGAAGATTGTCCAATTTTTTTCAAGGTCTGAAACTTCTCAACTCCTAGACTCAACACACATGATATTGAAGCATTTCTGGAAAATAATAAAACAACAACAACAATAATCATAATCATAATAAAGGGTGACCAACCATCATAATAACAATTAACTTATCAACAACTGTCCATAAAAAGACAAAAAAGTTTGGATTCTGGACATGGCAGCATCCTAAGGAAGAGAAAGAACTGTGCACGAAGTAGAACAATTGTGCCAAGAGAAAGCAAAGGTAGTAAGTACCAACTGGTGCCTTGGGTGCAATCCCAAAACAGTTGGAGCACCACTGGAACACCATCAGCATTGACAAATTCACCATCAGTCAGTTGCAAAAGGCAGCTTTACTTGGAACAGCTTACATGCTGCGACGATGCCTCTAGCTCCATAAAACATCCACCTCTGCCTATCCCAGGTGCTTTGGATTATACCTATTGCTGCCCCAACAGAATCTCCCTGTAGGGTCGAGGCCTCTTCCTAACTTTTGTATCTTGTCTACTCCTCAATCTGCTGCTCCCTCCTTGCTTTTTCCCTTCTTTTAGTTACTATCCACCATATAGTGATGCCGGCCACATGCTGGGTCCCTCGGCTAGGAAACGGAGAGGAGTACTGCCCTGTAGAGTTGGACACAGGGGAAACCCTTACCTTTTTTATATATATATTTGGGGCAACCCATCCATTTGTCACCCTTTTGCCCCTATTCTAGCTTCCTGCTGGCCATAGTTTCCCCTCCCTCTGTGTGGCAAAGCTTTTTTTGGTTCAAAAACACAGGAACTTACTCTGGAAGAACAGGGTTGGCAGCTAGAGGCATGTCATCCTTATGAGATAGACCAGACAGGAAACAAGACCAGATAAGCCAGGGGTAGGCAACCTTGGCTCTTTTATGACTGGTGGACTTCAACTCCCAGAATTCCTGAGCCAGCCATGCTGAGGGGAAAGGGAGAGGTTTCCAAGCTGAGCCGTGCTGGCTCAGGAATTCTGGGAGTTGAAGTCCACGAGTCATAAAAGAGCCAAGGTTGTCTACCCCTGAGATAAGCTAATTTTGTTGTATTGGAGAGCTACATTAACACAACCTTGCAGGTCTGAAAGGACGAATCAGCAGCCGTCTGTCTCCTTTACTGCCCAAGACCCCCGGGAAGGTCTCTTCTGAGCTTCTCCTCTTACCAGCATTTCTGCTGCAGACTCAGCTGCCTTTTTTGTCTGACCGTCACATGGTTGCATCTCCTTGCCCTGTCTCCCAAGGTCATTCCCACACACCATGATCTTGGATATAGCCCATAGAAGCCCCGTAACAACCGAATGGACATGTATGGAATGCCAACTTTGGACATTCTTGAGGAATACTAAGGGAGGGTACACATCTACCCTCCTGGATTCAGAGAAACATGGACTCAGAGTATCGGGAAACATACCAGCCGTGTCATCCGATTCCTCTCCTTCTTGATTTCCTCTCTTTAAGGAGGGCCTATGCCTAAGGGAATCCTGTGGAGAGAGGCGGCGAAGATATCCTCGGGAGAACAATTCGCTTTCTTCCTCCTCTTCCTCTTCCTCCTCTTCTTCTTCTTCCTCCTCCTCCTCCTCCTCCTCCTCCTCTTCCATTTCAAAGGTGGGCTCCAGTTGAGGCATGGGCCTCTCGGAGTCAGAGTCCTCAAATGGCTCATCCAGGACCTCTGTTGTTTCTGAGATCGTTTCGGTAACTACGCTGCTGTTGTGGTATTTTCGCTTACGGACCCGTCTCTTCCGGGGAATCGGCTTCTGCACAAGACAGTCAAGAAAGAAAGAAAGAAAGAAAGAAAGAAAGAGAGAGAGAGAGAGAGAGAGAGAGAGAGAGAAAGAAAGAGAGAGAAAGAAAGAGAGAGAAAGAGAGAGAAACCAGTGAAAAAACGCTGCAAAGAGTCTTCACAATCTGATAACTCATCAACATCTGTTTATATTTTTTTATCCGCCCAATGGAAGGGATTTCCTCACAATTAGTAATAAAAGATACCGTGATTCAGGGCTTAATGGGTTGCATGAGCTCAGCCAATAGGATGTGAAGAGTAGATTAATGTCCTAAATTTCCCTGATTTCAATAGAACCTAACGGTGAATGATTCCGTTTTTAGGTTTGTCTGTCATACAATCCACTTGCCCAACATATGGCAGATAAATAAGGAAAGCTAATGCTTCATTATTAGTTCTGGCATTTAAGACGCCAGAGTCACAAAACAGGCATGGGATATTTTTTTTTTAAAGCAGATTGTACATTACGTTGTTCCAATTTTGTTCAAATATATTTAACTGGGGATTCTGTTTTAGCTGGTGGAAGACAAATATTGAGTACTATGAAATCAAAATGCTTTCATTTTAATTGGGCTGTAATAGCTTCTGTTCGTTGTGCCCTACTGAGGCTGTCTCCGTCATTAAAGCCCTCGAGACACGGATTGCTAAGCGGCCCTTGTTGCACCCTTTCTTGGAACTTCTAGAAGCTCTTATGTGGTAAGGGTTACAGCAGGGGTCTTCAAACTTGGCCCTTTGATGACTGGTGGACTCCAACTCCCAGAATTCCTCATGCCTGGCTGAGGAATTCTGGGAGTTGAAGTCCACCAGTCATCAAAGGGCCAAGTCCGAAGACCCTTGGGCTACTGAGTTCAGCTCCCTGAGAAATAATGCTTATTTTTTAACATATCAAATTGCTAATCTCTATTGATCAATAAGATTTCCAGGGACTGCCAGCAGAAAAACTACGGTCGCTTCCTGGAGCTTCTGCTCCACTGGGCCAATTAACCAAACTTCGATGAAAACCACCAAGGACGACGGGCCCAAGAGTCCATTTGCAACCCACGCCGATCTCCGCCCGCTGCTCTCTTTTAAGGCCCCACCTCCTGACACCCCCCCCTCAAAGGGTGGGGAGGCAGCAACCCACCTTCCGCTTCAGGGCTGGCTTCGTGAGAACCGGTGGGGAACTGGAGCAGGGGCTGGCGGGCTCCTCGTCTTCGTCTTCGCTGCTCTCGCTGAAATGCCTCAGCACCGTGCGGTCGCCCTCGCTGTGTCGCCGGGCTAGCCTGTCGCACTGCTCGGAGAGCCGGCTTTTCAGGGGCTCCAGGGCTTTCAGCTGCCCTTTCCAGATCTCCATGCCTTCGCTGCATCGCCTCTGGGCGGCGGAGGCCTTCTCGCCCTTGCCAAATGGCCCCTGGGAGGAGGCCGGCTTTTCTTCCTCTTTGCCAAAGTGCCCTCGCCGAGTCGGGCTCTTCTCCTCACATTTGCCACACTGCCCCTGGGCGGAGGCCGTCTTCTCTTCGCTCTCCCCAAACCGCCCTCGAGAAGCCGCCGCTGCCGCCGCCGCTGCTGCCGCCGCCGCCTTTTCCTGGCACTCCCCACAGCGACCGCCCCTGGCCATTGCCGACTTCTCCTCCAAGACCAGTTTCGGGTCCTTCTCGGTGCAGGATTCCCGCAGCTTTTTGTTCTTGCGGCTCCACCGGCCCCTGCGCGGTGTGTGGCTGTTGGCAGGAAGACCGCTCAGGGGAAGACTTTGCTTGCCGGCTCGCAGGGCGTTGACCGGGAGGACCTCTGACTTTTTTTCACTCTCCAGCGGAAAGCAGGACTCCCGCTCTTTCCTCTCCCAGGAGACACACTTTATCACCTGGGGGGGAGGAAGGGAGGGTGCACAAAAAGAAATTAGCTCTTTTTCATCCTCAGCATTCTTCAGTCAGCATGCCGGCTAGGAACTGAAGTTGACATGTCTTAAAAACTTGCTGAGTTTGAGAAACACCACGCTAAACAAAGCTGTAGATGTCATGTTAGGTTGAGACTCTACAAAGAGTGCCGGGAAGAGCAACCAAGACGATCAGGGATGGAGGCTAAAGCATGTGGGAATTGGGCATGTCTAGTCTAATGAAGAGAAGGACGAGGGGGTGACATGATAATAGTTTTACCATGTTTAAGGGGCTGTCACAAAGAAGAGGGGGGTCAACCTATTTTCCAAAGCACTCCAAAGAAGCAATGGATGGAAACTTAACAAGGAGAGGTCCAACACAGAACTAAGGAGAAACTTCCTGACAGTGAGAGCAATTAATCAGTGGAACAGCTTGCCTCCAGAAGTTGTGGGTGCTCCATCGCTGGAGGTTTTTAAGAAGAGACTGGACAATCATTTGTCTGGAATCGTATAGGTCAGGGGTAGGCAACCTTGGCTCTTTTATGACTGGTGGACTTCAACTCCCAGAATTCCTGAGTCAGCCACGCTGAGGGGAAAGGGAGAGGTTTCCAAGCTGAGCCACGCTGGCTCAGGAATTCTGGGAGTTGAAGCCCAGGAGTCATAAAAGAGCCAAGGTTGCCTACCCCTGGTATAGGGTCTCCTGTTCGAACTAAAAGACCTCTAAGCTCCCTTCCAACTCTGTTATTTTATAGTTCTTTAACACTTCACAATTTCATACACGCACAAACGCCTCGCATTCTGACCTCAATGTCTCTCTCCCGCGACTGCTGTGGGACATCGATTTCTGCTTCTTCAGGATCATCATCTTCATCCTCTGAAACCACCGAGTTTGAGACGATGACCGGGGTCCAGCGCAGACATTCTGGGTCCACAACTACAGGCCGGATGTTCAGTTTCAGCTTTGCCATGTGGTCTTGGATAAGTTTTTCCCGCCGAACAATTACAAATCTGAGGGAGGAAAAAAGAATAGGTGGCTTTGGTCCTATGACATCACGTTCATGTTATAAACGTGGAAAGGCAGGAAGGAAAAAAAAGGTGTCTGGGAGACCCAAATGAGGGATTCATTATTGCTAAGCCTTTGCTACTGATGCAGCGCAGCTGTTGCTCAGCACCGCTAAGCTCGCGGCCTTCGAAATGTCACAGAGACTCTTGACGTGGAATTAATCCACAGTGACTGGGCTCATAAAATGCTTCAACCCATAACATGTGGGACTCTCCACTCCTAGATCAACCCCTCAGTCACTTCTCTGGCTCTTTAAATTCACCCTGACTTCTGAGATTCCCCCAAAAAAACCCTCTCAGGAGTAATCTTGATAGCACAAGGGCTGGAAACATGGATTATTTTTTTTAATGCATTTTTCAGGATTTTTGCATCTACAGAATCAGCCCTGAGCATAATCCTGCCATTTTCGGGGGCCACCCGATTCTGTGAGAGAAGGAAGTGATGCTCACTGATCGTTACGGAAATCCAGCATGCGCAGGTGATGCAGTGTCGACGTGATGTCTTGAGGACAGATGCCGGTCAGTTTGCTTAACTTCTTGATGCTGATCTGCTTGTCGTTTTGGTGATAAAGGCACTCCAAGATGACACTTTTCCAGTATGCCATGTAGGAAAGACGACCCAAATCAGACAGTGGCTTCTCCGGGGATCCCGCCTGGCCTTCACGTTTTGATAGGAGATAACCTAAGAGAAAAGAGAAAACACTCAGGATCAAGTTTGGTACAACAACCACACTCTTCTAAGTTTACCCAGAGTTGGGAGTATCGAAGGGTCCCTGAAAGACCACTAGCGACACTTCTGTGCGGGGAGAAAAAAAAAATCACAAAACAATCCCACTGTTATGACTAAGAAGCTGTTACTCTGGTTCTTATGAACATCTATCTCAGGTAGCTTGCCTTCAGCTCTTGTACAAAAGGTGGAATAAAAATCTAATACATATTAGTAAAGGTTACTTTCTCCACTCTTTCATCAAGAAAGGGAGCCAGACACCAAGAGGAATTTTCATAAATAGCTGAGATTTTTCAGAAGATGGACAGAAATGTGAAAAACCACAGTGAGGTGGACCCTCTTTTAACCAAAAATCTCAATTTTCAAGGAAGACAATTCTTCCAAGCCACAGAGAAGGGCTTGGGGCACACGTTCTACAGAAGCAAATGCTGGAGGATAATGTCCAGGTAGATCATAAACACATACTGGAAGGTCCCTTCCAACTCTGCTATTCTGTTAAAATATAAACGCATTTCTGCATCTGAGCTGTGTTCGTGGTCACTGTTGTGCTGATTAACAGCCTACTAACAAAATGCAGCCTGGCTAAATAGAGGGGATTCCTTCTCCTCCCTCTATTATAGCACATTCTATTCTGTCCATTGCCCCTCCCAAGACTGCGACAGTGGTCACGCTTAACTTTTAATATGCTACTACAGGATTACTTTTTGCTCCCCTCAGTTCTTCTTCTTAAAATTCTGTAATGAACCCTGCATTCTCTTCTTTTTTCTCAATGCCTCTCTTTTGTACGCACTGACCAACTGAGAGAAAGCAGTATTCCCTGTAGGCTAAATTCACTTAACGTATGTCTCACTTAGCAACAGAAATTTTGGGCTCAATGGTGGTCGTAACTTGAGGACTACCTGCATATTGGTAGTGCCAAGGCCTCATACGATCAAGAATTGATCCAATCTCTGAATACTTTGAAATCTGGGACAAATTTTATTATTGGTGGGAGTCGAGGAGGATTGTTAGGGTTATAGATTAGCATTAATATGGAAATGTATATAATCTTAGGCTAGCAAATAGAGAAATGAATTAAGTATTGTATAAAAAACCCCATGTGTATCTATAGAGATAAAGAACTAAATGTAAGAAGAGAAATAATTTGACAGAAATGTTTATACTGGAATGTTACTTCATGTCCAATGTTTTCTTTTTTAATTGTATTGTAAATAAAAAACTTTAAAAAAAAAAGAATTGATCCAATCAATGAAGCAATTAGAATGATTCTTCACCTTCAAGTCAGGGAACCATCACTCATTACACACCCTGGCTTTATAAAAATTAAATTCCAGCTGCTTCCTCCTATCCTGAGGTCGACATTCTACATTTAACACAAAGCAGCTCTTCATAATTGAGAGGGTTTTTCCTCCCCGGCCTTCAAGTCACACTTCACTGTGAGCAAGCTGATAATAAAGTCAATTCAGAGACTTATTTGAAGTCCTGTGATTCATGAGTGATCACTGAGCTTTCCAAATACACCAGACAGCAACAAGATGGTAAACAAGCAATTACTTAAAGAAGGTTAAGAAACAAAACAAAACTGGAACTCCAGCTAGAAATCGTTATCAGCGCATAGAGTTCGTTTCAGATAATGAGCGCGGAAATGTCAGCATCCCTTTAGGGCACATCATGTGCAGCTCACTTTCCACGACACAGGAAGCTGTCTGCACAAATGAGCACCTTCCCATTTAAAGATGGGGAAAAAATGAGTTAACGGGTGCTTAGTTCGGCTTTGACTTCTCTTCCTCTCCAGAAAGCATCGCATGGCTTTATATCGCCCGTCATTGCCACCAAGGCCAGACAAGGTACTTTTGCTATCCAACTGGATTTGGTACTAACTTGCTCCCGTGCACAATTCAAGATGCTTTTTTTCAAAAATTAAAACAATCCGCATGTATCAGATTTTCTGGTCTTTGAGATCAACAAAAAAAAAACAAAAAACCCAACATATTTCTTCTTTCTCAAATAAAGCTGAGGTCACTTCTCCAGCACGGTTTGAACTTTCAAATTGGTACAGAAGTACACGTTTATTTTTCCTATGTACAGCAGTAGTTTATGACTCTAAATTCACCTCTTTGCTCTATAACAGTGGTGGCGAACCTATGGCACGGGTGCCAGAGGCGGCACTCAGAGCCCTCTCTGTGGGGCACGCGCGCCGTCGCCCCAGTCCTAGGCCTTCAGCTGGGTTTTATAAAACCTTTCCGCTTTAGGCCTCCGCCGCCGTGTGCAAAATAAAAAAAAAGGTTCAATCAATCAGTCAATTTCAACTTCTCGTGGCAAAAAAAAAAGATCTTGCAAAATTGGAATTGATTGAACTTTTTAGTCTCACCCAGTCTGCCCAGCCAATGGGCCACACCCACCCAATGGGCCACACCCACCCGGCACCCGACGATGCATAAGTGGGTTTTGGGTTGCAGTTTGGGCACTCGGTCTCTAAAAGGTTTGCCATCACTGCTCTATAAGCTGTGGTTCTAAGGCAGAATCACACAATTTCCACCGGTTCTTCCTTTTCAAAACGGATTAATCCAAACGTATGTGACAACAAGCCCTGCATCTTAACCGCTGAGCCACCCCACTATTATATAAGTATGATGTAAATTAGCAACAATAAGTATGATGTAAATTAGCAACAATTTACTGAAATGGGTGTCTGGATAAAAACAGGATTCAGATCTCAAGTAGGAAGACGGTTAACTTAAGACTGCTGAATGGACATGCAACAGGGGGGAAAAATGGACATGCAACGGGGGAGGAGGGGGGAAGAAAGATGGTGATGTAAGACACACACGATAAATAAAGCATTTACTTTCACAGTGGAGAGAAAAAGTGGTTTCCTGGAATTCCAAAATAGAGCCAATTCAGATAAAGAGTCCTTTTGAAGTCACATCCAACCAAATCAATCGCAGGAGAATTGTACACTCCGTAAACGGCAAAGCCAAGTTAGAGGAGGGGAACATAGGGGGAGAAAAAAAAAACCACAACCCAGAAAAATATAAGAAGGGGCTTACTAAAGTCAATGAGGAATCTGCCGTAGCCCTTGCGCTGGTACTGGGGAAGAATCATGATACAGGACACGTTGTATTTCTGCTGGCAGTGCTTCTCCTAGAAAAAAGAGAGAAGAGGGGAAAAAAAGAATCTAGTTATTGAAAGCACGGCTTTGTGACATGGAAGAGGAGTTCTTTGGGACAATAATTAATACAGAGGGAATATTCCAGCCAAAGACACAGCTGTAATTCCATCGGGGAGTCAGAGAAAATCAGATGAAAAACATGTCTCTGATGGAAGAACAACAGCAAGCCTCTAATTATTTGGGAAGGGGGGGGGGAGAGAGATGACTGAGTGTGGCATGGTTTGGTTCCTGAAATCCAGCCATGTTTATTCCAAGTGACTCTGGGTCTGTGAGGTCTGTCCCCAAGGGTCTTGCTTCCTTTGGAGCTTTCTAAAACAGAAAGGCTCCCCCCCCCCTTTAAAATGGGGAAGAAAATCTGGGAAATGTTTATGGTTCGGATTCTGTGATATACCCAAGAGAACTGACGACTAGGAAAATATCTCCTTCGGTAGACATGACTCTCTCAAGCCACGGGAGCAGATAAATGGAGATGTTAACAACTGGATGGAAATACCCAGGTGTCTGCAGGGAAGAATGAATGTTAGGAAGATGTTTCAATAAAAGCTATGAAGATGAATACAGGGTAGTCCTCGACCATATGACCGTTTTTCAAATGGCCGTTGCCGCATCCCCACAGTTGCGTGAGCAGAATTCAAATGTGCGACCTTCTGGCAGGCAAAGTCAAAGGGTGGCCAGATTCACTGAAAAATCAGTGTTACTAACTGGATAACTTCAAGGATTCGCTGAAAATCTCCCTCACACACACACACACACACACACGCTTTTCCCTGTCTTTTCAGAGCAGAAATTTAAAATCTGCAACGCCTCCCAAGGAAACGGAGAATTTAGGGCCTTTCGGCAGAACCACAATCCAACAAGCACACTCCATTCTAGTAGGCAGACTAGCTCAATTAGAAGGCATGATTTGCTTCCTCCCCCTTCCACACACACACACACACACACACACACACACACACACACACTTCTTCTCCAAGCAGAAGAGCTTCTGCATGGGGACGGAGGCTGGAGAAGTGGGGAAAAGAATGCCTTAAACTGGAATGAGCTGCCCCCAGAGATCAGGGTGATCCCTGATCTCCCTTCCTTCCGCCGCGCCCTTAAGACATGGCTATTCCAACAAGCGGGACTGGCCTAGGGTAATTTTTAGAGGGGGTTTTAATCATATTTTAATTAGACAATATTTAAATATTTCTTTTTAACTAATTTTAAATTTTGTAATTGTTTTTGGTGTATTTTTAAATTGATTGTCAGCCGCCCTGAGTCCGCAAGGAGAAGGGCGGGATATAAATTCAATAAATAAATAAATAAATAAATAAATAAATAAATAAATAAATAAACTAAAGCCTGGACCCCATCTATGCAGGGGGCGCACGAAAGCCGTGTTCGGCCTCCATCGGGTCTTTTCCAGAGTGCAAACAAAAGCTTTGCCATGAGATCAGCATCTGATTTGAGGAGCAGCGGGGCTTGGTGGCGCACTAACAATGAATGTTTACTTCAGCAACTAGCTGCTGTACTCTTCGCTCGCTACCCGAGGGATGAGCAAGTAATTTAAAACCTCCCTTTAGAACCGCTAAGCTGGAATTCACGCTCCTGGGAGGATACACTCTGTTCGACAGGATGAAGAGAAAGCCAGCCACGTTAACTGCTTCAATTCCCTGGATTTGTCTAGACAGAATCTTAAAAGGGGTACGGAGGAGGGCGCCCACTGCTTCAGAAGTCCCTGGTGTAGTTAAAATCCAGCAGACACTGCAGAATCGCTTTGAACCGGCTTTTGAATTCGTATGGTTAAACTGAACACGCCAGCCCAATTATAGCCACCAGAATGCAGTTTAGACTAATTTCAAAGGTAATTTCCAGAGCTACAGATTCAGCACAGGAGGCTTAATACAATGGCAAAAGAAAAAAAAAAAGCAGAGATAGAGGAAAGAAAAATTAATTATCTTCTTGCGCAAATCATATCTCGTGATTGCAGAGTTTTAGAAGTGGTGTTGGGGGGGGGGGAGGAAAGCATGGGACCTGAGGCTGAATGCAGCATTTACTATCCTTAATCACTAGCAAAAATACAAGGCATATAAAAACTGAAATGTACAGATCATGCCTGTTAATATACATCGCTGGTATAATTTCAGCAGGTTTCCAAATTTCACGTTCCTTCCCATGGATTTCATAGCAGTTTTTACAGAAGCTATTTCCTTCTGTTGAGTGATCAGAAAAGAACCAACGCCCAGCAGTTACAAAATGAAACTAAAGTCACCTTCAAATTGAGTTCATTTCTTGGGTGAGTTAGAAGGACACACACACCCATGCAGGCTGCCTGCAATGAGGTTTCTACTTCTGAACCCTCACCTTGGAGAAGTAGCCAACCAGGTGACAGCCCTTCACATCGTTTTGCGTCAGCACATAAAAAAGAAATGGCTCCACATCGTAATAGAGAGTCTTATGGTCCAGGAAGAGTTTGGCCAATAGACATAAGTTCTGGCAGTAAATAGTACTGACGTTGCCATCCACCTTAAAAGAAAAGTAGATTAATTCGTTGTATCCATCAGAAAACCACAATGAAATGCTACACTCTGGCCAAATAATATTGGAGCAAGCATCCATTTTTGAAAGCATTCAGAGAAAGAGAGCAGTTGGGAAACATCACGACTCTGACCTTTGGCCCCCAAGGCAGCCCATATCCTTAAGCTTAGCAACCACTTAGATTTGTTTATATGGCCAAGAATTTATAACCTTATTTAAAGAGTCACTAAAACGGGGATGCACTACACCTAAATTGTGGAAAAAAAACTCTTTGGGGAAATGGTATTGAAAAAGCCAATTTAAAAGGCAGAAATTTACAGCAGAGAAGTAGTAACATGTGAGCATTAACCAATTCCTCAGCCACTGTAGCTTCACTAAAGTTGTTGACTGCCCAGGAGTCTGCAAGCAACATTCCCAGAGACTATTCAAATTATATTTCTGTATTTCTGGAGCCAGTTCCTATTCCTCGGTTCAGAACGTGTTGTGAAAATTGCATTGTCAACTGCATCACCTGTTTCGCCTTTTATTGGGACAAACAGCAGTTAAGAGCTGTTGAAATTTACCTCGAAAACCGAAACATTATTCTTTCTGTAAATTTCATTGGCTGGGGGATGAAACCAACCACACTTCTTCATGTGCTGCTGGAGAATAGTTCTGCTTTTCATGTATTTGAGACAGAATTCACAAATATACAACTTGGGCAACCTGAAAAATATAAACTGGTTAATACCCACTCAGGGCTAAAGAAAAAGGCAACTTTCAAAGAACAAAATAATATAATCCTTGCAGTTCTCATCCTTACAACAAATGACAAGACCAAGAAAGTGTTTTTTCCCTTAAGTAAATATTCATTGGACAAAGAGACACAAAAGCAGAGGGAGACCTATAGAAGCCCTAAGCAAAAGGCTGCTTAAGTTGATTTCCGGCATAATATATCCATTGGTAAGAAGTAGAACCAGATAAAGTAGGGAATATATTTTCCAAGCTCAAAGGTGAGCAGTACAAGAAGGTTACAGGAAAGTAACCAGAGGCTCAATATTAGATAGTGCCAAACCCTAGTAATTTAACTGTACACCAGCCTCCACACTCAAATATACTTCTTCACCCTCTCATATAAAAGCCGCTATTAAAATTATTCAAAGCTCTTTTGTAAATGAATTTAGGAAACAGATTGTTGTAAAATAAGCAAACATATTCTTTACTTTACCCTCCAGCATTTTATCTGCATCTTTACTTATTATAAGCTTATTACACTGCTGATTACTATTTCCTTTCTCCAACTGACATGCCACTCTGTTTTTATGGGAGGGCGAGAGCTTAAAATATGAGTGTATCAGGATAAATCTGTTATACTCGCTGTTTCATTTCTAGTAATGGCAAAAAAGTTCCAGCGGGCAACAGGCTGCACATCGTAAAAGGTGCTTCCTACCTGGAATATTCTTGTGGATATGGAGAAGAATACCAGGTGTGGATTTCATATTTTCCAAACTCAATGACTGATGGGCAGCGGACTTGGGGGTCATGTGCCCCTGTCACTCCTACTTTCTGTAAAAGGGAAAAAAAAAACCACTCAACTTTACTCCATGGGTCTGGGAATCTAATAAAAAAACAACAGGTTTACGTGAACATCAATTTCCACCAATGCCCCCCAAAACGGAGAAAATAAAAAATTACATAGGAGAAAGGCTATCCCAGTCATACTTAATATTTCTAGAAACCTTTTTATTGTAATGGCCCAGATCATAAGGGAAACTAAATTCCCCTTATTATTCTAAGGAAATAAATGCCCTGGAATTGAATGAATGAATGAATGAATGAATGAATGAATGAATGAATGAATGTATGTATGTATGTATGTATGTATGTATGTATGTACGTACGTACGTACGTACGTATGTATATTAAATTTGTATGCCACCCACTTTGCAGTTTGAGGTGGATAAAGTGAAGAAGGAAAAGTATATACCAACAGCATCTATAATAAACAGCATAAATCTAAGAGAGAATTGACAGAGCATACTGAGTGCAATTTAAGAGCCATCAGTTGAGCTCAGGCCTCTAAGGGCAATGTTATAAATTCTTTATTTGCAAATATGGGGTGGGGGGGGGAGAGAAATCAGCATTATCAATACAACTTTAAAACAAGGACAAAAGAAAACAATCTCTACACACACTATTTATGATAGTAAAAATAAAATTGGGAACTCCAAGAATCTTAGGGGCAAGTGCAAAGGAAGCACCTTCATTTGAAAAAGAAAATTGGGTGTGTGTGTGTGTGTGTCTGCAGGAAGAGTCGAGGTCATAAAAGTTTAAGTGCTCTGGGGGGGGGGGTCATGTCTCTGCCTTTCAAGTGATCAGCATAATTTCAGCCTTAATTGTTACTCATAGTTTTATTTCTCTGTAAAACAGAGAAGTCCTTTCTTTCTCCTCTCTACCTAACCCTTCTTCTCTCAAGGAGCTGTTCCAAGAGATGGTAATACCTTGCAAAGTGCCCTAACATGCAGAGGCAGAAAGGTGGAGGGAAAATGCCAATTAAGCTCTTTTAATCCTTTCCTGTTTAGTTTCCACCAGGCACTGAGAACTTTAAACAATAAAGACTATAAATGTTTTACAGCTTTTCCTAGTGACAGGGTTCCCCCCCCCCTTCCTATTACTCCAGCTGCTTCTTCTTAGATACTAAGGTGTCTTGCTATCAGCATTGTGTATTCATATCTGAGCTCCAAGGGTGGCACTTTTTGCAAAAAAAAAATATATTCTTAGCCTACAGATGAGTTCAGATGTCCAGTTCTTAAAACATGACAGCCCAGAAGGTCCAGCTCTTGCCTTTTTTCCTTCTGCGCCCGCTCAATTTTTTTCCAGCAGCCGAGGAAGCCTGCGCAGATGCTTCCTCGGTAGCCATTAATTAGTTCGGCTTAGGCAGAACTGAAACTCCACCGTAAAGCCATTTCTTGTTTGTTTTTCCTTTATGTTCCCTTTTCTAGGGAATTACAGGAACATGTTGAAACCTTTAGATAAAAGACGACGGGTTGGGCCTACATGATTTTTCCCATCCTCGTGCGCTGAACCGAACCACGGTGTCACGCCAAATCCTTGTTTAGCATTTTAATCAGGCAGGCAAACCTTGCGGGCTCGTGTACGCCCCTCTACTTTTCTTACTTCAGTCCCGTGAATTATTTTCTCTTTAGCTTAAGCCACAATTACTACGTCCCCCAAAGGTTTAAGACTGCCCTTCAACCAACGATTTAACCATCTTTTAAGCTAGAGTTTGCAGGATTCCTTTAGAAGGCCATTAAAAGTATTTTCGGGTTTAGAATAACAATGATCTAATTTTACGGCGCTGGAGGTGATCTCCTTCCAAATGACAATTTTGATGGTGTAAAAATAGTTCTATAATCTTTAAAAATGCCTATAAACAGAGAACAATAAGTTAGCTTGTTTACTCTTCTCTTGCTCTCTAGTTTCCTATCCAAATATGTAGATTAAATTAAATTTCCAGGGTTGGATGTGACGTGATGCTGGTTAATGTTCCTACAAATCCTCCATTATAAAGCAGGAGTGAAGAGATCACAACATTCAGTTGAAGTCCAGGAAACGCTGGTTTATTAAACTGAGATATTTTCAGAACCCAGCCCATGAAACTTTGGATTTCATGAACATTATGTAATTTAGGTGTGGATTATATTTTATGCAAGAGAAGGGTGGATTTTAATAGCCAAACACAATGTCTGTACTTAGGATCAGCGTGTCCGATCACCACATACTGAGGATAAAACATGAAATGGCTAGCTGCTACCATCACGCCATGCTCACAAACCTGCTAGAGACCTCTGGCTGACAAGTGTTAAAAAGGATGCTACAGTAGGTAAACCTCTGATCTTAACCAACAAAGCAATCTGTATATTCCCATACCAAGCTCAGGGCCAAGCCATTTTTCCATGAGAATTTATAGGTGTGCCTTATTTGCCCTCCCTTTCATTTCACATTTCAAAGTAGCAATAATTTTAACACTGCCTCTGCAAAACCTTGCCTTGCCTTCACACCTACCCGATATACTAGAATACAACCTGTCAGACCTATTCACAACACTGCACAACAAAAGCTTTCTGCCACTGTACCGTACTGCACACAAGAGGAAAGTCAGTTTCTCCAAATGTTATCTCTCTTACAAAAAGAAGAGTATCAAGCCTTAGGGATTGACTGCTTTATCTAAGGAGTTACAGCAAATCAAACTAGACAATGTGTTTTCATTGCAATTTAAGAAAGTCTCTTTATTGTTGGGGAGGGGAGGGGAGGGTTAGGGTTGAAAAAAAAGTATAATTCTACAAATTAAATCAATTGCTCAAGTGCAAATGCTCTAACAAATAAACCAATTGGTGGAATGACATCCTGTAAGAATACGCCCTACTGAATCAATCGCCATTTCTTTCCTAATAGGGACGGAGAATATGTCATTGTTTTTAACAATGAGAATGACTATCAATCTATAATCCACTAAGGAAACTGCAAATATTCTATTTCTTTAATTTCTTTAAACCGTACACAGATATGCTTCAAGTAGGAATGCCACTCACTGTACCTGTGATAACAGCTTGTGAGTTTGCGCCTTCCCAACAGCCGCAAAACTCTTCTCCAATTGAGCATCCGCAATAAAGGTGGAGTCCCAGTTCCAATACAACTGTTTGCACATCACAACAGCCCGAATCCCCCTTCACATGACCCAAGTTCCATCAAAAGCTGCCAATATCCAAACTGGTTACACACGCTGTTTTAGTTTATTCTCATCCGACAAATTCACCAATAATTCAGCAAGCCATCCTTGCATTTTTACGAGTGAATTCCCTTTTGCTCAGGTGCGGCCCTCGGGTCTACCTGGAGACGGACTGCGTCAGCTCCTCAGCTGCATTTTAACCCAATCCTTGCCAAAACAAACCAATTAGCAAAGTCGTAGCATGAAGCAACAGACCTAATGTTTCCTAAAGACTGTAAAACACAAATGCTTTCTTGGTGTGAGTGCTCCACACATTTCTATCTTGCTATACGTGGTAAAACAATTTGTTTCAAAGGCTTGAAGACATCATACATTAACAGAGATACATGTTACATCTTGCATCTCTTTGGCTAGTAAAGTTGAGAGAAGTCCAAGTTTGACCGGTTCGTTTGAGTTTCCATACTTTGAAAGTTTAAATGCCTTTTCATCTTTGTGTTAGTTCCAAATAAAGCCATAGCACTTAAGACTTATATACTGCTTCATAGTGCTTTACCACACTAAGAGGTTTACAGAGTCAGCAATCTGGGTCCTCATTTTACCGACTGCAGAAGGATGGAAGGCTGAGTCAACTTTGAGCTGGTCAGGATCAAACTCATGGCAGTAAGCAGAGTTAGCCTGCAATACTGCCTATTAACCACTGTGCCACTACAGCTTGTAGACCTTTTTCCCATCTTCACTTGTAAATGCAGCCCCAATTTTCCCCTCTCTCATTGTTTTCCAATGCGATCTATCCTGCCGTCACTAAAACAGGATAATGTCTGGCTGTTGAACAAGTGTTACAAAAACATGAAACATTTTAGAGACTGCCAAACATTTTACTGAACTAAGCAAGCAAACTGTATGAGGATCTCAAGGAGCTCCTACACAACTAACTGTCCGTGACAAGCCACAAGGAAATGCCCAGTTAAAATGTACTCAACCCCACAATAGTAATTCTATATTAATTCTGCAACAATCAAAACTATTATTTTGCATTTGCATGGAAGGTTCACAAGCTAGATCTTCCTAAACCAGCACGTGGTTGCATCCTCGGGCCCATGCTTCTGAGCCATAGTGTCTCCCAAGCTTTCCCCGGAACGCTGCCTTCTTGCATAAAAATCACAATTAATAAATTGTGTGTTGGTGGTCTGATACTCGGAAGATCTTGTGTAAATGATCTTCAGTTTCCTTGACAGCAGTGAAGCCTTCTTTCTTGGTGAGCTTCTGTGACTGTTAACACATCGGACGGAAGTTGATTCGACTTTACCTGCAGTGCTTGCTCCTGAATGTCTCTGAACAACTCCATATCTTTCTCTGCCATGACATCTGGGCCTCCTAGAAGCCACTCTTCATTTTCCTGTTTTCCATCCCAGCCGTCCTGATTGTCTGAAAAGAGAACGTTTAGAATGCCTTGATGAATTAGCAACACTTTAAACAGCAAGCAAAGTAATTTCTCATGAAGAAAGATGACATCTGTGCTTTTCCTTGCCTGCTAACAAGACAATCATATCCCACCTTAATTTTGGCAGAGTTTAAGAAAAGCCTTCTCAGTTACTGAAATGAGAGTGCTCTTCTTTCTTCTAATCCACCCAAATTCTTTCCTCCAAACAGTCCTGTACCATCTCTCTTGATTTATGACAAAGCCTCCATTTAATAGGCAGGGTAATTTCAACCAGTTTCAGATGTCAAGAGAGGCACCTGTTCACCAGAGGGATTACACCCCAAGGTTCTGAAGGAACTGTCATACGTAATCTCAGAACCACTGAACTATATCTTTCAGAGATCCTGGAGCACCAGGGAACTATCAGAGGACTGGAAAAGAGCTGATGTTGTTCCCATCTTCAAAAAAAGGGGGGGAAAGTAGATCCAGGAAACTACAGACCTATCAGTCTGACCTCAACCTAGAACTAAGGAGAAATTTCCTGACAGTTACAACAATTAATCGGTGGAACGGCTTGCCTCCAGAAGTTGTGGATGCTCCAACACTGGAAATTTTTACACTGGACAACTGGACAACTATTTGTCTGAAATAGTATAGGGTTTCCTGCCTGAGCAAGGGGTTGGACTAGAAGACCTCCAAGGTCTCTTCCAACTCTGTGATTCTGTTACCTAGATGCTCTTTAGAGTATTATTGACTAAAACAATAAATTGCAGCAGTAAATGAAGATAATTATTTGCTCTGGTCTTCCTATGATAATACAATGGATGATTTCTAATGGACAGTTTTTAAACCTAGTTATCACAGTTTCTTTATAGCAGTTCACTCCGATAATCTCTGAGTTCCATAAAATACAGAGTCAATATCTGTTGCTACCTGTGGGCCAATCTGAAGTGCTTAATTTCCTATTGTCCTTTCTCCTGATCCTATATTGCTGAGAGTAGTCCACTACTTCTCCTCGCGCTTTACGCCCATCAGGGGACGGGGTGAAAAATTTGGTAAGGCCGTCAATAAGCCCTTTGGTTTTCTTGTTGAATTTCAAGGTGATGCTCGCATCTCCGCAGAATTCCAGACCATCGACTTGCTCCAAGTAGCCCCCTTCTGACGAGCAAGTGGACTGGCTGGATAGGGGGGTCTTACGCTTGCGACCTCGGCCAGGTCCCGTCTGAACTTTGCTGAAGGGGGCTTTTGATCTGAACAAATAATTGAGAGACGAAAAGAAAGGGTATTCAATATCAGAAAGACGACCACGAAATATCAAACAATCGTGCAGACGGTATTTGACTCACAGTGTATATTTTCAAATGTTCTGTTTGGGCTGAGAATTATACTTTATAATCCCTGCAAGTTTACCGGAAACAAATCCAACTAGGTTCGATAATTCAGCGCAGAAATTACTTCCATATTACAGTGCAACGTGGCACCTGGGTCTTTTGCATAAACATAAAATACAATAATCACTGCAAATGTTGCACACCTCATTTTTTTGCAAAATATTAAAAATGTGTGTTTATGAGCAAGAAATGGAGAAGAGCATTGCCCCCTATAGTCAGCAATGACTAACAGAGTAAAATGTTAAAATGTTTTTCTGAGCAAGAATCTTAGGATTCTGAAACATTTGTTTTAGTTGTGGACAAAACTAAACATTCAAGGAAAGAATATCCCAGTGTTTCCTAGAAAGTCCCAATCCAGCTGTTCTGTTTTCCAGAAGTCAATCTTCCAGAGTAAGAATCGGTATGCAATATTCTGGACCTGGCTATCTCCGAGACCGCCTTCTGCCGCAGATTCCCTCCCATAGACCGGTACGCTCCCACAGAGTGGGCCTCCTCAGGGTGCCGTCGGCCAAGCAGTGTCGGCTGGCGACCCCCAGGGGGAGGGCCTTCTCTGTGGGTGCCCCCGCCCTCTGGAACGAACTACCCCCCCAGATCCAGGTGATTCCGGATCTCCTTACTTTCCGCCGCGCCCTCAAGACATGGCTTTTCCAGCAAGCGGGCCTGGCCTAGGGAGGATTTTTAAATCGGGTGCATTTTTAGAAAATTTTAAATACCACAACGTTAAAATATTTGGGTTTTAAATTGGTTTTATCTGGCGGGGATTGTGGGCTTGTTTCTGTTTTAAATATGTTGTGAGCCGCCCTGAGTCCCTCGGGAGAAGGGCGGGATACAAATCAAAATAAATGAAATGAAATGAAAATGAAATATATTTTGGAACAGTGACATATCTCTGTTTTGCGCATCCCTGAATGAGTCTTTATCTTTTACATCAGGGGTCCTCAACCTTGGCAACTTTAAGATTTGTGGACTTCAACTCCCAGAATTCCTCAGCCAGCAAAGTACTTACGTTGCATTTTGGTTCTTTAATCTGTTTTTGGGGCGACCTATTGGGTTGGCATAACGCCGCTTAATCTGTGCTGCCTTCTTTTGGAGTAGTTTTCTTCCTTTTTTACGTGGCCGACATATCTGACATATCCACATGCCTGTAAGATATAAACCTCGTTGTCATGCCAGTATCTGCCAAAGGCAGAGCACCACACTTCCTTGTTTGTGTTCCACATTTCTATCTTCTACCCAGACATTCTCACACAGAATATAAAAGAGCAGTAAAACTTGACAGGATAACAATGATAAAAACAGTAAAAACATCACCACCCAAAGAGAAAACTACCAAGAATAAACGTAGAAAATGAAGATGGCATACTAAAATCAGAGATAAGAGTTTCCTAGAAAACTCAGTTTTTAAATGCTTTCAGTGGGGGGAAGGCAGACTGATCTCAACTGTGAGGCTGTTCCACGGCATCAGTGCTGCTGCCACACGGCAGGGCCTCCTCCCTTTAGCATCCTGGATCTTCCAAAAGTGAAGAATTAGTAATAGAGTCTCCCTATTTGATCTGATCCATTAGGCCAACGCTCGTTAGAATCGGTAAGGTTAAAAGCAGCACCTTAAATTGTACCTGGAAACCAACTGGCATCCAATACAGGGTTCACAAACCAGTGTTATATACTTCCAGCAACAGAAGGCAAAAAAAAATACGCAAGCTGGTGCATTTTGGATCAATTGTTAACGTTGGGGTAGTTTTTAAGGTCAGCCACAAATAGAGCACATTATGGAAGTCTAGCTAGATTGCGATAAGCATGAGAATTACTGAGGCTAGCTTCTTGTGCCTGAAGTAGGGTTACAACTGAAGCACCAGCTCCTTCTAGCTATGACGTCCACCTGCTGTTCCATCATGAGCTGTGAATCCAGAAGGATTCCCACATCATGAAACTGCTCCTTGACAGGGAATGCTTGAGGTGGTAATGGAAAACTCCAGTGTATCCACAACAACTCAGGTTTACTATGGTTTGGGTACAGCCTGCTCGCTCCCATCCAAATCCTGGCAATCCATAGGCACCAGACAGGGATAGAGATGATACCACACCATGACCCACTGAACATCTCCCAGCAGCTTCACACATATGTTAAAAGCAGGGAAGAAAATCTAGTCTCACCGTTCATTTTCTTAGCAACTTTATCGTAAAGCAGTTTCTTTTATTGCCCTGAAGCTCAAATGTGTAAATTGTTCTGCCGATCAATTATATCCTGTGTGTTAAAGATTTTCCATGTAATCTGAGAAAATTTACCTCCCGTTTTGTAGCATTTTTCAGCGCCCCCCCCCTTACCTTTTGGCATCCTGGTCAAAGGGGGATCACAACACTCCATATGAAAGCCCCGATCACATGAGTCACAAAATAGCATATTATCCTGTAAAGCACAGATGTTTCTGGTTAATGTCTTGTATGTGCACACTCAAAGAGTTACAACCGGGGTGTCATCAAAGCTGTTGGCCATGGTTCAGAACAGCTAAGGGAGCCACTGTGAATATAGTGGTTAGAGCAACTTCAAATCCATTTCCAGACACAAAAATTCACTGGATAACTTTGGATCAGTTACCTTCTCTCAGTCTAACCCCAGGGGTAGGCAACCTTGGCTCTTTTATGACTGGTGGACTTCAACTCCCAGAATTCCTGAGCCAGCCACGCTGAGGGGAAAGGGAGAAGTTTCCAAGCTGAGCTATGCTGGCTCAGGAATTCTGGGAGTTGAAGTCCACCAGTCATAAAAGAGCCAAGGTTGCCTACCCCTGGTCTAACCGAATGGTTCTCAACCTGTGGTCCGTGGACCCCTGGGGACCCGCCATGTCATCATGAGAGGTCCACAAAGGCTTGAAAAAATGTGATTTTAATCTTGAGTTACGTCTTGGGACCCCGTGGCCACAAAAGCTATTTAAATGGGTCCGTGAAGTAAAGGTTGAGAACCACTGGTCTAACTATTCATGGGGCTGTTTGGGGGATAAAACTGGTGGTGGATCGTGCTATCTTGCACTCTTAGAGGAAGGGCAGCATATAAATCTACCTATTGTAACCAATTTATTTGTTTTTATTTGTATCCCAAATACATTTATTCTTTTTACAAATAACTCAAGGAGGCAAACATACCCCAAATCCTCCTATTTTTCTCCATGACAACCTTGTGAGGTGGAATGGGCTGAGAGAGAGTAACTGGCCCAAAGTCACCCAGTCGGCTTTCATTCCTAAAGTAGGACTTGAACTCATGGTCTGCACTTCCCAGGTTAGTAGTGCCTTAACCACTAGACTAGGGGTAGGCAACCTCGGCTCTTTTATGACTCATGGACTTCAACTCCCAGAATTCCTGAGTCAGCATAGCTGACTCAGGAATTCTGGGAGTTGAAATCCATGAGTCATAAAAGAGCCGAGGTTGCCTACCCCTGCACTAGACCAAACTGGCTCAATTAATAAATTAAGAGAATTTCTTCATAATTGCTCCCCCACACACGAATAAATAACTTATTTCATATGCCTTGCTCATATTTTAAAGTTAGCAGAAAAATCACAAAGGCCACCTTCTGTATGAAACTTTATGAAAATCCACGCTGAACAAGACAGCCCCACCCGTATAGAGCTGGCTTTGCCATTTTTTTTCATCCAGAGCTGACTTCTGTCTGTAGTAGCTGAAAATTAGAAGTCCTTCTTGTTCACATTCCAGTTTGATTGGTTTACTGATTTATTATCATTCTGTTACTGATTAAATTGTCACAATGTTGGAAACAATATGTATTCCGTTAGCTTTGAAATAAATTTGTCACGATTGTGACAAGCAACATATTAAGCTAACAAGCGTGCAGAATAGTTTGTTAATGCTATTTATGAAGTGTTTTCACATCTTTATGTTCTGCTTTTCTATTTCTATATATATATATTGAAAAAACCTTAAATAATGTTTACATAAATAAACATCAATAAGCAAAATCAGCCAGGCTTCTCCACTGTACACGTTAGAAAGGAAAGATTAAAAAGGATCGCTTGGGGAAAAAATAAGTACGAGGGCCACAAAAATGCTCTCCTGCAAACTAGCCTATCTAACGTTAGCCGCAGGACGACACAAAAGCAGCACTCGCATTTGATGATTTCAGGAAATGGCCAGGCCCGCAGGGGATATAGTAGTTCACAGGCTACAAGGCCCTTTGGAGCATTAAAAAGTAACCTCAGAGCTCTGGATTCTGCCCAGAAACATGCTGGGAGTAACACAATTGTGACAACTGTTTCCTGCAGTAAGCTCCAGCTGGACTCCCACCACACCTTGGGTCGGCTCTAGTTTCCAAATAGCCCCAGAGTATCTTTAAAGTGCTCTAACGTGGATGTTACAAAGGTGTGTGCGTGATTGTTGCTGAATCAAATCACAGAGGGCAGGTGTAAATCAGATGAATGCTGCAAAGGAGATCAGTCCAGGTTTTATCCAGGCCAAGATCGTCGGCTATAACTTCCAGGTAAACCTTCAGCTCAGGTACTCACAGCATTTTTGCCCTGGTCTCGACAGGAACTGCAGGTTTTGCACTCAATGCACTGCCATCGTAAGGCCTTCACCCGAACGGTTAATTCTGGGGAGAACTTCAAGCAGGATGGATGACCTGTAGGTACCAAGGATGCGAGAGTAATTTCCACGATGCCAAGGAAAAACAGCAATATTTAGTAAAAGGAAGGCTACGGGATCTAACGCAGTTGACTCTTGACTTCCGAAGAAGACTCCTAGTTGGTCAAAAGAGTTCAACACATTCTCAGCACTGTGCGTTAATTCACACAGGCTGTGCTTTCGCAAGGAAATGGTTTCTTGCCCAACAACTTTTATTTCAATTTTGTGAGGAAAATTTGAGTTCAAAAAGGTTTTTGTGAATGGCTGAACCCAAACGATTTCAACGTGTCTGTGATTTACACATGATTTCAAAGTGCCATTCATACAACACTTGTTACATTTATCTCTATTTTCATCTGCACAGCATTTCGGGACAAAGAAAGGCCATCTGGCACTAAAAATACTGCTCCTAATAGAACGATTTGTCATCGGTTTTGACCTTTCTTGCAACAGTTGTTGAGTAAATCATTACAATTGTTAAGTTAGTAATAAGGCTGTAAAGTGAATCTGGCGTCCCCATTGACTTTGCTTGTCAAAAAAGGGTGATCACATGACCTCAGGACAATGCAGCTGTCATAAATAGGAGTCCAAAAGCAAATCCAAGTAGATAAATAGGTACTACTTTGGTGGGAAGGTAACAGTGCCAACTGCCTTGGCATATAATCATACAGGTCACATGGCCATGGAAGCGTATTCGGACAACACTGGCTTCCTCAGCTAGGAAATGGAGACGAGCACCACCCCTAAAGTTGGATGTGACTGGACAGGTGAAACCTTTACCTTTTTTTTTTTTCTCCTAGTCCTTGATTTACATCAACAACTAGGAGCAGAATTTGTTGCTAAGCAACACAATCATATGGCGTGATCGTATCATTTAGTGATGGCAATCTCTGCAGTCCCAGTTGCCACTGCTAATTGAATCTCCCAGTTGTTGGCTGAGGTGTGAAGCCAAAAGTCAAAGTTGAAGCTAAGTGGCTGCTGCTGGGCAGGGGAAGAGAACAAGGGTGTGAGAGGCACACGTTGGCAGGATGTGAGGGAGTGCACAAGAGGTGGGTTGTGGAGGGTGCGTGGGGCGTATCAGTGGCCAGCCCAGCACAAGCAGAGGGCCAGAAGAGGTTGTGTGGGTGGAGACGACTTATCCCAGCAACTTGCGATCTTTCCCTGCCAGCTTTCCGGCTGACTTTTTAGAGAAGCTGCCAGGGAAAAGTTGTGAATGGTGTTCACGTGATCGCAGAATTGCAACCAGTCCTAAAGTGTGAGCTGATTCACAAGCACCCCGATCACTATCATAGGACTGTGAGAATGCTGAGACGGAAGGCGCTATGAGGACCGGTCATAACTATCATTCATTCAGTGCCGTGATAACTTCAAGCCATCACTGAACGAATGGCCGTATGTCAAGGACCCCTTAGCAGAACAAAAATAGCTGTGTTATCTCAACTAGAACTCGTAGACCCTGAACAACATGGACAATGGACTAGCACCTGGTTTAAAACACTGTACACTAACAGATTCGTGCACGATCTCCACTGAAACTCAAATGGAAATCCCTGAAGAGCTGGGAATTAATGCAGCTAAACAAGTGCTGACATCGGGTCCTTTTCTGCAACTGACACAGAATCACCTAGCCGTCAATGCAGATGAGAGCATTATGACAGTGCAAGGAAGACGTGATTATTCCCATTATCTTCAGAAATATTTACTTGCATTCAGGCCGAAGGAAGTACAAAGGCCAAGCGCAGGGGGGTTCCAACCAGATGAACAAATGGATCGTCTCAGATGCGCCAACCAAGGTTGGTGCCTCCAATACGCAGAACGTCACCTACCGCTATTGCCGCAATCGGCACAAGAGATGAGTTCCTCGGGTTTCTTCTCCCGGTTTTGTTCTTTTGTACCAAGGCAGAAACTGCAGATTGGGATTGGTTCAGCAACTGGCTGCAAGGGGCGGTGGGGGTGGGAGAGAGAGAACACAAGCTTTCATTAATTGGCATGTTTGCAAAATACTGCATAAAGGTACCGCGGTAAAGAAGCACAACTTTCCCATCAGGTGAGAAATGTAAAGAACTTGGGGTCTAGGACTAGATTCTCACTTTCAAAGTCTAAGCACCTAACAATGAACGCAAGAGTTAAAGGAAGCCAGGTCCAAATAACACGGGCAGGAGCAAACATGTAGAGAAAGTCCAAAGGAGAAGCTGGCTCAACATTGGACGCTCCTCCTTTCGGCGCACGTAATCCAGCCAGGATTCAAAGTCAGTAGTTTGAGAAGACAAAAAGTAAGTCAACATTTCTGTCAAGGATCATTACAGTACCCACAGATGGCAACTAAGAATGGAAGGCAGACGATCTCTAGGTGGGGCCTTGGGCAAATTATGTTCTCAATCCTACTCAATCCTACTTTCTGCACTAGGTTGTCACTAAAACAAAGTAGGGGAAAAAATGAGAGACAAATGTGATTAGTGGTCACACCCTCTTTCCACATTCAGTATATGCTATCCCAGGGGTCTTCAAACTTGGCCCTTTGATGACTTGTGGACTTCAACTCCCAGAATTCCTCAGCCAGGCACGCGTGCCTGGCTGAGGAATTCTGGGAGTTGAAGTCCACAAGTCATCAAAGGGCCAAGTTTGAAGACCCCTGTGCTATCCAGTTGCCAGATGTGACCAAGAGCTTTCTCTTATCTGGCTCAAAATAAATGAAAGCTCTATATATTTGTACCCTTTTGTTCTTCAAAGCTGCAAACGGAATGCATGGCATAATGATTGTTATTAAAAAAAAAAAAGAAGCGACTTAACATTTAGCTAAGATTATTTTCCTAAAATCTGCTAGTTCAGCTACTTCACATTTTGAGACGCTCCCATAAAGCCGCCTAAAGATTGAAAAAGTCAGGTCATAAAAGTAGCTCCAACTTTCCCAAGCTGGCTTTCTTCACATCCACTAAAGCTCAGTTTTTTTTATAAATACCATCTATTGTAGAAGAAATATAAACTATCATTCCGGCTGCAGTAAACTATTCAACATGCCTAAGGTATCTGGAGCTGGGGTGGAGACTGAGATAACAAAGATTTCGAATAACTAAATGATTCAGAGTACCACCAGCAGATGGAAGAGCAGACAGCTCTTTCTTTACATCAGCCATATCAATCGGTTTCTTGACATTATCAGCAATATATCTTGCCTCAGTGTAACTGGGTTGATCACAAAGTCATCTGAAAAGGAGGATGACTCCTAAAAAAGCAATATTAGCTGCAAAGGAGAGATGGAATTACCATGTCCAATTGTTGCTGGAGATCTTGATTCTGCAAATATATAATACTAGGACAGTATTCTTGAGTTGTATTCTAGATGTCCCCCCCCCCCCTTTCCTCATTCTCAATTAGGAGAAATCCAAGATCTCAACTCAACCCATCCAACTAATATAGGCGGATTTCTAACAAAGATACTAATAAATAGTGAGACTAATCCGGCTTGATTCAAACTAAGCTTCTCCCCTTCTTGTCGATGTTAAATCTGATGCCTAAGGGGCATTTCACCAAACTAAATATGCAGGAAGATCAGAATGAAATGTTTGAAAGATGCAAGTGGATGCATCATAGTACGGCCAGGAAGGAAGGACTCTAACCGCTAGCAGATCCGTTCCACCAAGTGGGAAAAGACAGCAATACGTAGATTTATCTTTTGCAAAAAGCAAAAAGAAAAATCCTTTTCAAAAATCGAACTGAATTGAAAAATTCTTGGAAAAGGTCAAATCAAAACCGCTGCTGCCCATCTCACTTTTTTATTTCACTTCACCTGGACCTCTTTTCTCCATTTGTTCTGGTTAGCTAGGCGACAAAATCAGCAACTCTGAAGGACAAATAGGGAAAGACTCACAACAACGGAGGGGAAGAAGAACATTTTTGAGAGTGTAAAAGCTTTCCTCTAGCTGTCATCCCTAAGGGAGTTGCCGAATAATAAACTAACAGTTTTACAAGTGCCATCAACACCAGCACCTTTAGAAAAGAAAGTGTATTGAAGGCTACCAGGATACAGTTAGGATACATGTAATTCCAAAGAGTAGGCAAGGAAGCCAGAGGGAAGAGTAATATTTTGAATCAACTATTACAGGAAGGGGATAAGATATCCCTGGTGATATATACCGGGACGCCTTGCGCACAGTCACTCATGCCCTGGTCACCTCCCACCTGGACTACTGCAATGCTCTCTACATGGGGCTCCCCTTGAGGAGCACCTGGAGGCTCCAGCTAGTCCAAAATGCGGCCGCGCGGGCAGTGTTGGGAGGGACTCGTCGCTCCCATGTAACACCGCTGCTGCGCGAGCTGCATTGGCTGCCGGTGGCCTTCCGGGTGCGCTTCAAGGTGCTGACCATCATCTTTAAAGCGCTCCATGGCATCGGACCTGGATATCTTCGAGACCGCCTCCTGCCGCAGATNAGAGCTCTGGATTCTGCCCAGAAACATGCTGGGAGTAACACAATTGTGACAACTGTTTCCTGCAGTAAGCTCCAGCTGGACTCCCACCACACCTTGGGTCGGCTCTAGTTTCCAAATAGCCCCAGAGTATCTTTAAAGTGCTCTAACGTGGATGTTACAAAGGTGTGTGCGTGATTGTTGCTGAATCAAATCACAGAGGCCAGGTGTAAATCAGATGAATTCTGCAAAGGAGATCAGTCCAGGTTTTATCCAGGCCAAGATCGTCGGCTATAACTTCCAGGTAAACCTTCAGCTCAGGTACTCACAGCATTTTTGCCCTGGTCTCGACAGGAACTGCAGGTTTTGCACTCAATGCACTGCCATCGTAAGGCCTTCACCCGAACGGTTAATTCTGGGGAGAACTTCAAGCAGGATGGATGACCTGTAGGGACCAAGGATGCGAGAGTAATTTCCACGATGCCAAGGAAAAACAGCAATATTTAGTAAAAGGAAGGCTACGGGATCTAACGCAGTTGACTCTTGACTTCCGAAGAAGACTCCTAGTTGGTCAAAAGAGTTCAACACATTCTCAGCACTTTGCGTTAATTCACACAGGCTGTGCTTTCGCAAGGAAATGGTTTCTTGCCCAACAACTTTTATTTCAATTTTGTGAGGAAAATTTGAGTTCTAAAAGGTTTTTGTGAATGGCTGAACCCAAACGATTTCAACGTGTCTGTGATTTACACATGATTTCAAAGTGCCATTCATACAACACTTGTTACATTTATCTCTATTTTCATCTGCACAGCATTTTGGGACAAAGAAAGGCCATCTGGCACTAAAATTACTGCTCCTAATAGAACGATTTGTCATCGGTTTTGACCTTTCTTGCAACAGTTGTTGAGTAAATCATTACAATTGTTAAGTTAGTAATAAGGCTGTAAAGTGAATCTGGTGTCCCCACTGACTTTGCTTGTCAAAAAAGGGTGATCACATGACCTCAGGGCGCTGCAGCTGTCATAAATAGGAGTCCAAAAGCAAATCCAAGTAGATAAATAGGTACTACTTTGGTGGGAAGGTAACAGTGTTCCATGTGCCTTGGCATATAATCATACAGGTCACATGGCCACGGAAGCGTATTCGGACAACACTGGCTTCCTCAGCTAGGAAATGGAGACGAGAACCACCCCTAAAGTTGAATGTGACTGGACAGGTGAAACCTTTACCTTTTTTTTTCTCCTAGTCCTTGATTTACATCAACAACTAGGAGCAGAATTTGTTGCTAAGCAACACAATCATATGGCGTGACCGTATCATTTAGTGACGGCAATCTCTGCAGTCCCAGTTGCCACTGCTAATTGAATCTCCCAGTTGTTGGCTGAGGTGTGAAGCCAAAAGTCAAAGTTGAAGCTAAGTGGCTGCTGCTGGGCAGGGGAAGAGAACAAGGGTGTGAGAGGCACACGTTGGCAGGATGTGAGGGAGTGCACAAGAGGTGGGTTGTGGAGGGTGCGTGGGGCGCCGTCAGTGGCCAGCCCAGCACAAGCAGAGGGCCAGAAGAGGTTGTGTGGATGGAGACAACTTATCCCAGCAACTTGCAATCTTTTCCTGCCAGCTTCCCGGCTGACTTTTTAGAGAAGCCGCCAGGGAAAAGTTGCGAATGGTGTTCATGTGATCGCAGAATTTCAACCAGTCCTAAAGTGTGAGCTGATTCACAAGCACCCCGATCACTATCATAGGACTGTGAGAGTGCTGAGATGGAAGGCGCTATGAGGACCGGTCATAACTATCATTCATTCAGTGCCGTGATAACTTCAAGCCGTCACTGAACGAATGGCCGTATGTCAAGGACCCCTTAGCAGAACAAAAATAGCTGTGTTATCTCAACTAGAACTCGTAGACCCTGAACAACACGGACAATGGACAAGCACCTGGGTTTAAAACACCGTACACTAACAGATTCGTGCACGATCTCCACTGAAACTCAAATGGAAATCCCTGAAGAGCTGGGAATTAATGCAGCTAAACAAGTGCTGACATCGGGTCCTTTTCTGCAACTGACACAGAATCACCTAGCCGTCAATGCAGATGAGAGCATTATGACAGTGCAAGGAAGACGTGATTATTCCCATTATCTTCAGAAATATTTACTTGCATTCAGGCCGAAGGAAGTACAAAGGCCAAGCGCAGGGGGGTTCCAACCAGATGAACAAACGGATCATCTCAGATGCGCCAACCCATGTTGGTGCCTCCAATACACAGAACGTCACCTACCGCTATTGCCGCAATCGGCACAAGAGATGAGTTCCTCGGGTTTCTTCTCCCGGTTTTGTTCTTTTGTACCAAGGCAGAAACTGCAGATTGGGATTGGTTCAGCAACTGGCTGCAAGGGGGGGTGGGGGTGGGAGAGAGAGAACACAAGCTTTCATTAATTGGCATGTTTGCAAAATACTGCATAAAGGTACCGCGGTAAAGAAGCACAACTTTCCCATCAGGTGAGAAATGTAAAGAACTTGGGGTCTAGGACTAGATTCTCACTTTCAAAGTCTAAGCACCTAACAATGAACGCAAGAGTTAAAGGAAGCCAGGTCCAAATAACACGGGCAGGAGCAAACATGTAGAGAAAGTCCAAAGGAGAAGCTGGCTCAACATTGGACGCTCCTCCTTTCGGCGCACATAATCCAGCCAGGATTCAAAGTCAGTAGTTTGAGAAGACAAAAAGTAAGTCAACATTTCTGTCAAGGATCATTACAGTACCCACAGATGGCAACTAAGAATGGAAGGCAGACGATCTCTAGGTGGGGCCTTGGGCAAATTATGTTCTCAATCCTACTCAATCCTACTTTCTGCACTAGGTTGTCACTAAAACAAAGTAGGGGAAAAAATGAGAGACAAATGTGATTAGTGGTCACACCCTCTTTCCACATTCAGTATATGCTATCCCAGGGGTCTTCAAACTTGGCCCTTTGATGACTGGTGGACTTCAAGTCCCAGAATTCCTCAGCCAGGCACGCGTGCCTGGCTGAGGAATTCTGGGAGTTGAAGTCCACCAGTCATCAAAGGGCCAAGTTTGAAGACCCCTGTGCTATCCAGTTGCCAGATGTGACCAAGAGCTTTCTCTTATCTGGCTCAAAATAAATGAAAGCTCTATATATTTGTACCCTTTTCTTCTTCAAAGCTGCAAATGGAATGCATGGCGTAATGACTGTTATAAAAAAGAAGCGACTTAACATTTAGACGCAAAGATTGTTTTCCTAAAATTTGATAGTTCAGCTACTTCACATTTTGAGACGCTCCCATAAAGCCGCCTAAAGATTGAAAAAGTCAGGTCATAAAAGTAGCTCCAACTTTTCCAAGCTGGCTTTCTTCACATCCACTAAAGCTCACTTTTTTATATAAATATCATCTATTGTAGAAGAAATATAAACTATAATTCCGGCGGCAGTAAACTGTTCAACATGCCTAAGGTATCTGGAGCTGGGGTGGAGACTGAGATAGCAAAGATTTCGAATAACTAAATGATTCAGAGTACCACCAGCAGATGGAAGAGCAGACAGCTCTTTACATCAGCCATATCAATCGGTTTCTTGACATTATCAGCAATATATCTTGCCTCAGTGTAACTGGGTTGATCACAAAGTCATCTGAAAAAGGAGGATGACTCCTAAAAAAGCAATATTAGCTGCAAAGTAGAGATGGAATTACCACGTCCAATTGTTGCCGGAGATCTTGATTCTGCAAATATATAATACTAGGACAGTATTCTTGAGTTGTATTCTAGATGTCCCCCCCCCCTTTCCTCATTCTCAATTAGGAGAAATCCAAGATCTCAACTCAACCCATCCAACTAATATAGGCGGATTTCTAACAAAGATACTAATAAATAGTGAGACTAATCCGGCTTGATTCAAACTAAGCTTCTCCCCTTCTTGTCGATGTTAAATCTGATGCCTAAGGGGCATTTCACCAAACTAAATATGCAGGAAGATCAGAATGAAATGTTTGAAAGATGCAAGTGGATGCATCATAGTACGGCCAGGAAGGAAGGACTCTAACCGCTAACAGATCCGTTCCACCAAGTGGGAAAAGACAGCAATACGTAGATTTATCTTTTGCAAAAAGCAAAAAGAAAAATTCTTTTCAAAAATTGAACTGAATTGAAAAAATTCTTGGAAAAGGTCAAATCAAAACCGCTGCTGCCCATCTCACTTTTTTATTTCACTTCACCTGGACCTCTTTTCTCCATTTGTTCTGGTTAGCTAGGCGACAAAATCAGCAACTCTGAAGGACAAATAGGGAAAGACTCACAACAACGGAGGGGAAGAAGAACATTTTTGAGAGTGTAAAAGCTTTCCTCTAGCTGTCATTCCTAAGGGAGTTGCCGAATAATAAACTAACAGTTTTACAAGTGCCATCAACACCAGCACCTTTAGAAAAGAAAGTGTATTGAAGGCTACCAGGATACGGTTAGGATACATGTAATTCCAAAGAGTAGGCAAGGAAGCCAGAGGGAAGAGTAATATTTTGAATCAACTATTACAGGAAGGGGATAAGATATCCCTGGTGATATATATAGGCAACAAAGAAATCTAGAGACAGTGAGGAAAGAAATAAATGTACACAACTGAAGATCTGGGGAAAGAAGACAAGGGACAGCGGCAGCCAGAGACAAACCGTCTGTAAGTTGAGAGAGACGACAAAAGGAAAGTTCGTGTAGATAGGTACATTACAGTCGTCTCGGCTTCCCTTTTACCCCCCTCCCTTGTTCCCTTCCCTTCTCAGACTCTGGCTTTTTCTCACTCTGGCAAAAAATTCCCAACGGTCGAAGAGTCGTGGAGTGTGTTTTCGACAGACCCTTCGGGTGAACGACGACAGAAGCAAAGACTAAACTGTTCCCATAGCGAAGCACAGAAAAGAGAACAATTTATGGAAAGGAAGGTTTCATACAAAACACACAGATGTACACACGGAGGTAGCAGCCAACAATTCTCTTCTCCGGGCGTTGAAGAGCTCATTTCATCTGTTTTGGGAGTTTCTACGTCCAGATGCAGACAGGAATATCAAACTCCTGCTTGCAAGAAAGAGGTCCTTTTCCCACATTATGCAATTTGCTGCATTTGTGCCATTTCCACCCTTCGGCTTTCTCAACTGCTTTAGGCAAACAACAGAAGGGGAGGAGGGAGCAATGACAGTCTGGGCACCCAGTTGTAAAAAAAACAACAGACAGCCACTCATGTTCACACACTGTAAGTACCTGGAAGCAGATTTACTTTTTATGTACTCGGAACACAGGTATGGAGTAGAAAGTCACCCTGTGAGGGCAGATATGATATTTCTCCCTTCGATGTATCGCTCCCCGCTCTGTAGAAATTTAACCTTGGACGCATCGTCCTTCAAAGCATTTACTTAAGAATGATCATCAAAAAGACATCCCTAATTCCTTGCGTTACTATTAGTGCAGAATATTATGGTGGAGACAGGTTGAGAAGAGTGCCAGTGAAAATACCCCAAGCCAGCGATGGCGAACCTTTTAGAGACCGAGTGCCCAAACCGCAACCCCAAACCCACTTATTTATCACAAAGTGCCAGGGCCGCATCAGCATTGTGGTGCCCTCCGGGGGGGGGGGGCAGAGAGGCGTCTCTGACACGCAAAAACCAGGGGCACAAAAATGGGCCACCATACTGCAAGGTGCAAAAATGGCCACCGCTGTGCCGCGGGGTGCAGATACAAGGCGCTGCACCACGCAAGAACAGGGCAGGGCTAGTGAGTATCATGCAGGCACTAGCCCCGCCCCATTTGCAGCACGTGCGTGCTCGCTGCCCCGGGTGCGCGTGCACGCAGGTAAAATGCTTCCCCTTCCCTTTTCTTCCAGTCCACCAATCGACAATGGTTGGTGACCTCTGCTCTACCACTTCTACTCGAGCTTGCTAGTCGGCCGCTTCGCCTCCTTTGTGCTAGACAGGGCTCCTGCTCCGGGTGGCGGTGGCGACCTGATGGATCTGTTGCTGGCGGTGGTGGCGCGCGTGCCAACAGAGAGGGCTCTGAGTGCCGCCTCTGGCACGCGTGCCATAGGTTCGCCACCACTGCCCCAAGCTAACTTCCTGAGATTGACCCTCCTTTCAGAATCACCAGGGCCTTTATACAGCTTGTGTGCAGCTGGTGAATGTTTTCATCTGAACATCCCCCTTTAACATCTCCAGATTAAAAGTATCATAAATCTCAAAATGCTCTGAGAATGACTCTGTCCTTGGCCAACTGTACCCTTGGAGACTGCAGAATCCTTTTAACATGCAGAGATTTTTTTAAGATCAGACCCTTTTTTGTTTTTATCTACGGCTGCAGGATACGGAAAACGCCACTCAATTCTGACATTGGGTCCAGAGCCTCAGAAGTGGCTATGAGACATTCTTTGGGGAATCCATGTACTTTTAAAAAAAACATTACAGAGAATCATACTTGACTCAGTAAGTTCATAAATGACTGTAATCTCACAAGTCAAGCATTTCTTTTTTGCTTCAGTTCTTCAATCAAACAAAAGATAAAGCTTGATCCATTACACTAGTCTTTTATCAACTGCCCTCCGGGTAGAGTTAAACTACAACTCTATCTGGCAGGCAGTAAGGTTATGCTTAGTAGTCAGCCTAAGCATAAGATTACTGAATCTCCAGATGTGCCTGACTACAACCTCTATCATCCACAACAGCATGGTGAGTGTGGATCTGCATGACAAAAGCTGTAGTTGAACACATCTCCATGTTCAGTAGCATTAGACTTGTCTTAGGCCAGGGGTAGGCAACCTTGGCTCTTTTATGACTCATGGACTTCAACTCCCAGAATTCCTGAGTCAGCTATGCTGGCTCAGGAATTCTGGGAGTTGAAGTCCATGAGTCATAAAAGAGCCAAGGTTGCCTACAGGCTAATTATTCTTCAATCTTTAATGCAGCAGTGTCCAACTTTGGCAACTTTAAAAATTAGTGGACTTCAATTCCCAGAAATTGCCAGCCACAGATCTTAAAGTTGCTAAGGTTGGATACCCCTGCTTTTAAGACTGCTTCTAAAGACACGCCATTGAAAGACTGTGAATTCTTCACCACTGAAGACTGCTTTCTCAAATCCCTAATCTCACAGCACTTTTAATTTCCTCTATCTTGAAAACATAACAAGGTAATGGGGTTTCTTATCATGGCTTCAACTGCTGTTCCAGGGTGAAAACAATTGTTATGAATATATTTTCCAACTACTTTGCATTCTTACAGCAACCAGGATGACAGCCAGGTAAATAAATAAAATATGCAATGAAACAGATGTTATATAAGAAAGCAAATTAACAACAGGACGTAACAGCCCAGCAGAAATAGCTCACAGCTACCGAAATGTGGGGT